TAAATAAATAATTAATAATCACAATCATTCACTTCATATTTGTCACTTGGTTACCAGCTATACAGCCCATTGTTCAAGAACCACTGCTTTAAGTCGGCTTTCTTCTGATTGGCTGTCATTGACAATCAAAAGGTTTGAACCTCAGGTGGGTGGAGCTTCTGTCCCCACAGAGTTGTGTGGCTAAGGTGACCACAGTAGTTTACAGACACGTGATTTTATGAAACCCGTCCACATTTAATATCAATGTCCATGACTGTACGAGCAGACAATATAATGAGGCCCTTTAACATTATTTAGAAACCACCACTAATTTAAAGATTTACTTTTCAGCTGTGAAATTTGATCCTCATTGAAAAATCCTACAACAAACATGGAATTTTTAAAAAAATTAATCAAACCACTCACATATTTATTTTCAAACTTCTTAGCCAGGGCTTCAACCTGGAGCCGCTCTCTCTCCTCATCATTGAAGGGGTCATCGGGATTGCGGGCTGAAGTCAAACTTGGAGCATTATTCTTTGCCTGGAAGAAAATTTGAACAACAAAACAGTGAACAGGAATGATCGGACCCCTGGGGCAAAGTCAAACAGTTGCAGTGACTCAGTCCAATCAGAAATGTATCAACATATTATCACAGCAGCCTTAAATAAGTGAACAGCTGCAAGTGAGTGCTGGTACAAATGCTCAAAATATTCCCAACACGGTGCTGGCAGGACTACTGTTTGGCCCCGAGTAAGAAATATTTAATTAACTTTTGGTTTATAAGCAGAAACCAGATGATCCAGATGTGCACAGATTGACAATGTGGCGAGCTTGTCTTTGATCTCACTGCTGACATTTGCCTCACTCCCATGTTACATCCTGGTACTTCCATCAGCAATGCTCTCTCATCTATCTATCAGCCGCTGCCAGAGGGCCAAACTGCATGTGGCATTTCCAAGTGCTGTAATGGCTGTGTGACTGGGCTGTTGCTGGGCAAGCCTGAGTGGAAAGGACACAGGTAGCAAAGCAGCACAAGACCAGCTTCATCCCTCTCTACATGTGGAAGAGAGGCGGGG